CCATTTTTAACGTGGCTAGAGGCAGGTTACGCGCAGTCAGTGAGTAATTTCTATCCACTTGAGTAGTCTTGCTCCTCTTATTTATTGTCACCGAAGAAGGATAGGTTGAACCTGATTTTTGCAGCGTATCGAAATACCGGTGAAAGGAAGAAGGCCTTTGCTGCGGATTTATCTATTAGAAAACGTCAACTGAACAGTTACAGACTATTGGACAGGAGAGCAAAACTCTCATATGCATCTTGTTTACAAAACTGAATATCCATCTTCTCCTTGACCGCGTCTTCCTGAACTTTCCTGGATATTCATTGACTGTTACTCAACTGCAAGCAAATGCTACAAAACGACTCCACAAATTCCGTAATAGATCTCACTTTCCAAAAGACGTAAAGAGCAGTTACGAGAAAACATACTACTCGCACCGGTAGCTCAGTCGTGTTAATTTCGTGGAACAGATAGACAGCCGCATGATCTACAGCCAATGGACTGTATTTCCTCTGTTTGTACAGATCACCAGCATTATGTTTTGGGTCATAGGGAAACCTGAATTTCAGAAGACTAATGTGGGAGTTGAGCGCAGTGCCGTGATTTTATCAGTGACTGCTGGACGCACCCGAGCATCGAACAGTTATAGACACTCCTAAAGGGTCTGTTAAACCGCATCAGAAAAGAACTCCGTTCAAACCAAGAGACAGCAAAGCCGCTGGTCACGGAGAATAACTCACCCCCAAGAGTATCTGTTTCGCCTCCTCACTGATGTTGTCTCCCAACTTGACCGGTCTCGTCAGTATGGCTTCATGCATCTTCCGCCGATTTGTATCGAAAAATGGAGGCAAACCATACAACATCTCGTAGAAAACTGTGCCCAGACCCCACCAATCAACTGCATAACTATACTCTCCCGCTCTGATAGACTCTGGAGCGAGGTACTGCAAGCAAAAGTAGAGCAGTAAATAGTGGCTTGGAGCGATCACAAATGGTGATAATAAGTAAACGAAATAGAGCGAACGGAAAAGTTGTGACAATATCCAAGGTGGTTGACACCAGAGTTGTGTACAAGTAACTACAAGTCACTAGTTAGAAGAAACACGGCAAGGAGGAAATGTTCTTTAACTCTCTACCCATAACAAAAACAAAAAAGTAACAGTTCAGTTGTAACACCCCTTTGGTGCATAGCTGCCGTGCCATCCAGAGGAAACACGAGAACTGAGATATTGTCAGGATGCCACCGCTTAGACAGGTGCGATCGAGTTCGAACTACGACCTTCCGCTCAGTACGTCAACGCCTTCACCACACAGCTATCGCAAGCTCCTGAGCTACTGTAGGAGAGCGTGGGACGGATCAACGAGCCGGTACGTGAATTCTAGTTGCCCACGCTTCATAATCAACAATAACGCACACATGCCAGTTGTTCCATTTTCCCAAGAAGCCCACCTTCTATCCGGGAGTGATCGAAAACTGAACTGTCATCGTTCTTACTTGGAATATGGGTAGGTAAACAAGAAGTGAGAGCTAGTACAAAACTTCAAGGGGCTAATTCAAATCCTGAAAACGTCATCGCTCCCGCACACAATACACAAATTTCCAGTGAAAAAATCATTAAGAGTATATCAAAGTCGAAGAGTTCTCAGCAACCTTGTGAGTAGTTTCCTTTATGAGAGTGCCTACCCCTTAGAAAGAGTAGATACAAAACGGCTCCTTGTTTCCTACAACTTGTTTACGCAATATCAGATGACTCCGGTTATTCCTAAATTATTTTTGCCGTTCCTTCCACAGTATAGTAGAAACTTAACCTCGCCTGGGTTGTGTGCTTCCAAACCCGGGCCCAAAATCTATTCTGGTGCATATTGTAAACTGAAGTCAGTGGTAATCAGTCCAGAATCTACTGCCAGTTGGCAAAATTACAGAGGGAGACGCTGTGAAACAATGTGCCGCCTGACGTAAGTGCATGACAGGCTTGTGTCCAGCTGATCGAAATAAGGACACTTTATACTTGAATGAAGGAGCACTGATGTCCAGCTTGGTATCGGGAAATCTTGAGTGATTGAACAATAACTGCAAACCGAGGGTTTCAGAGTCCTTTTCGAATTTGGCTTTGGTAACCAAGTAAAGAAACCACTCCAAGTAACAGTCCCAGCGCTCCCGATAGAATCTAATGAGATGGTTTAGCACCCACTTCAATGCACAACCCCCTAAATCCCCAAAGATGCATGGGATGTGAGATAATGCCACGTTGTCCAAGTCCAAAAAAAATCAACTGGAGAACCAGGGTGGGATCTGAACCATGGATTTCCCGGTCAGCAGCTTGCACTTTAAAAAAAGTAGTGCGTAAAAATGCCTGATGATTTACTGATTTCATCGTAAGAGACACCAGACTAAGTTTGGTCAAAGCTTCTGTGTTCAACTGCAGCACCCTCTCGGTGCCTAACTGCCGTGCCACACGAAGGTTGCACGAGGGCTGGGATACTGCCAAGTTACCCAAGCCGAAACAGGGGAAGTCGAGAGGCAGAGATCGGGTTCGAACCACGAGCCTTCCGGTCAGTAAATCCGCGTTCTAACCACTTGGGCCATCTCGCCCCCCCCCCACTGACTAAGCACAGAAAGCAACCGTAAAAATGGTGATGTTGAGATGAATTCATCGCACTTTTCGCCATCAGACAGATGATGGATGTCACTAAAGCGGCCCAGGTTATATCAAATAGATGTTCAGCTTGCGGCATAGCAATCCTTTTCAGGTCACTTTGATGTGGCATGTTGTCCTTCTACCATTTGGGCCAACCCGCTCTTCTGTGTAGAGCTACCAGAAATTTTCTGTACAGCTCTGCAGGCACAGAGACAGCAGAAGGAGGAAGGCATAAGCGTCAAGATGGCATGCCGCCAACAGACCAACTGATGATTACCGAATGATGCTGACATTCGTCTTGACTAAATTTGTTACAAGGTGGTGAAAAGAAAAACAGGAGGAAGACCATACCTCTGGGGTGCCACAAACTGTTCCGGTTTCCTGTGCTCCGTCAGCGTTCGTACATAAGCCGAAGTCAGTCAGCACAATGTGGCCCTAGAAGGAAAGTATAAAAAACAGCTGCTAGCGCAAGAATTCTTGTTCAGGTTGAGAAATATAAATGGGAGACACAACTAAGTATCGGAATAACATAATGAGGTGCGTGTAAAAGTTCAATAAAGTCTGTGAACGGACAAAGATGAATGAAACTGCTTGATCGATACGATTACTCTAATGGCTACATGTAAAAACTGTAGGGAGGGGCTATTTCAAATGAATCATGTACCAGGGCTAGCAAGCCAATGCCAAATGAAGCATCGGGGTTATACGAACTTGAAGCTGTCAACTGCAATAACGGACAAGCTAAATGTGGGCGAGGTCTCCATTTTTTCAACCAACTGTTTCAGATGCAATTTATCCTCAGAACACCTGGAACAGAGATGTGAGATGCGCTACTCATAGCCTTGTGGATTTTATGCTACATTTAACCCGTAGAGGCTAACAATGGTCCAATCAGGGATTTGCGAAATTAAAAAAAATTTGAACCAACCAATTCTTCGTGATCAAATGGCGAACAGACACTGGCTCGTCCACCAGTGCTTGTTGGGACGTGCGACCTTGCTTCGGTCAATATCGCCGTATGCGCTAGTGTCACAAATAACTACAGTGACATTCCAACATGACCATCCAACTTGATTGAAGTGAAAAAACGTGCTTGATAACATAGAGATGCACTGATTTTTCCACTTTACCTAGCATTTGATTAGTATAAATGAATAATCGATTTTGGGAGAGGACTTTAGGTTTTTCAATTGCGGTTTCGTCTTATAAATGAGGTCAACCTCTCGGAAGGCCAAAAAGCATTCTAAAGCAGTGTCCCCTTGCCGATAGTCGCCAATCCTGTGCATCTCACATATCTCTAGGGGTGTTCATGATTCGCGACCTCCTGGGTAACATCGGCGTCGGTCGACTTGTCTTTAATAAAGATGCATTACGTGCCGCAAGTAAACATCTCTAAATAAAGGACTGCATCTTCTAAAAAGGATTATGAAGGCTAAAATGGAGATCAGACAAAAAACTAAATGGAAGTTACCGAATTCAAAACTGGTATTGAGCTTGGGATCACTTCTTCTACCAAGCAGAACTTCATTTTCGTGGATAACACAGGTCTTTCGTAAAAGAAACATCTATTTTTCAATCAAAACTCAGAACGAGAATGATTTAGCACAAGGATACCCACAGAAAAAGTGATGTCTACATAGAACCACCTCGCAATAAAATGGCCATGGGTTGCGTGGAGGAAAGCAGCAGGGAAAGAAAACGGGCCGAGGGTGCATGCTACACAGATAGATTGCTTGCCTACAACAGAAACTGCTGTCAAACACATATAAACGCGGGACTTTCATTACAGCGACACATTGTAAAATGTATAATCAAGTTTGTACCAATCGAGGGACGGGATTTCAGCTAAATAGGGAGCAGGGGCTGGACGGGATGGATAGCTCACCTGACCATCTAATAGGATATTTTCGGGTTTGAGATCGCTTAGGAGATCAGACAAAACATGAACGTCAAGGATTTGATCACGGAAACGCACTCTTAAAAATGGTTGCGTAGCTTTCCAGAAGTATGCAGGAAAAATCACCATGTGACGAAAGTACTACGGGGCAGAAATATGAGATAACTTTTTGTCGATAAGAACAGCCTGGTATACCATTGCATCAGCACTCTGGGAGAAAATTATCAACAGAGTATTTGGCAAAAAGGATTACATGTTTAGAAGTTCAAGGAAGTAGAGCAAGTAGAGCAGGTAACAAATGCAATCCCATAAATGCAACATAGGTCCCACAGGAAACAAATGATTGTATCAGTTTTGTACTTGGTTATCTATAGTCCCCTAAACACTACTCTTCGCGTGCTACTATGTACAGGGGCAGTCTAGCTCTTGAGGACTACGTACAGAGCCGAATGTTATCACACCGAAAAAGCACGCACACACCACCTAGTCATTCCCAATTTGTGTGCAAACCGACCGAATCAAGCAAATGAAGAACGTCATAGCGTTTAAAAAACTTTGGAAATACATGCTCTGCCGAGAAACCGTTAAACTGCAACACACTGCACCTCACGAGTAGCAGCCTTTGTAGGTCAACTGGAATTTTACGTGTAACATTCACTGCTTTTCGCGTGCTGGTTTCGAATAATTTGGCATGCAGAAACAACGGGTGTGAACCTGTCTACTTTTATTCACCGGTTCGCAAGTTGCCGTTGCGTCTGTTGTTACTATTTAGCTACTTTGTCGTTAGTAATAGATCAAATTACTACTATCGTTATTATTACGAGCAGTAGTGTTAGTACCACTATTATTATTATTATTATTACTATTATTATTATTATGCAACACAGTAAGCATTCAGATATCACAGTTTGTTCTGTCCCTTCGGGGTCGAGTGTACCCTGAAACATAACCAGAAGTTCAGAAGCCCAGGATCCTATGGAACGGTACAGTCCACATGCCAATTTTTCAATGTTCGCGTGTATCAGCGGACGAATGACAACTGTTCAACGGTACAGTCCGTGCTGCGGTAGGTAGATACTCGGGAAACGGTCTATCACGAGGGATTTAACTGCGATCGACATTTTTGAAAACATGATTTTACAGACAAAAGCTCACCGGTAAATGATCTTCTCGGAGTGCAAATAGCCAAGGGCGCACGCAATTTCAGCCACATAGAACTTGGCCCGCTCCTCCGTAAACCGTTCACGTTGGATATAGGAGTACAGCTGCCAACGTCGCGGACCATGATAGACGAAGGAATGAGGGTGCACGGGTTTGGTGATTTCGATCGAGCAAGACTAGCTTTGAAAAATGTTCATACTTGACTGCGAAAGGTTCATCATCACGATATGCTAGCCTAATAAACATGGCAGGGAGAAGTGTATCCTACTGATGGACGCAATCCAAAATAACAGACCACGCTACCTTTCAAGAGATTATTAGTGCCATATACCACAGGGGAATCCAATAACACGACGTATTAAAAGACATTTAATACTTACTTACTACGGTTTGGAAGAGTGTATCACATAAAATGCAACAGCATAGATTCATAAACATGGATAAACATAAATACCAGCTCACCTCTCCACCATTCACATAGTCCATAACAAAAAACAGCATCGAGGCCGACTGGAACGTGTAGCGTAGCTTACAGAGGAATGGATGCTGTAAACTTTTGATCAGGACGTTCCGTTCACTCATGACCTGTTGCACGCCACTGGGACGTTCGATTTGTTGCTTTTTCTTCAACACTTTGATTGCAAAGACTCCGTTGGTGGTACGAGAGTTGGCAAGATAGACCTAAATGGAATATTACGGATGTGACCATAAAGAAGTGAATAAAGGAGGTTGACGTGGACCTGATCTTTTCATTTTTCTGACACGAGTCTAAAGAAAAGCAAGACGAAGAAACCTTATCGCCAAGCATAAGGAATTCAGTACCACCGTGCTGAAACGTGCGCGGTACACCATGCAACGAGTTTGCTTAATGCGCGCCAGGAACGAGAGACCACTGACCTGACCAAAAGCTCCCATTCCAATCTTCTTCACAAGCACAAAATCCTCCGGTATTGCTCTACAGATGAGGTTGCGGAATTCAGAGGAAACAAAATAAGGACAAACCTTTTGGCTTCCGTTGTCTCCATATCTACTTGAGCTGTCTTGAAGGTAAAAAGTGTAATCGGTACAATTCAACTTACCAGGGGCAGACCAGGAGGACACAGTTGATCCAATCCCAAAAATTTCTTGACACAATCCCTGGAAAGCGAAGAGGCGTAAGTGGATGGTAATGCTGACCGTAACTTACTGTGCCAAATACTGTGGATCCGTGATGAGTTCATTTATGAAAGCTTTCAGTTGCTTAAGTCGTTTTCTCCCGAAGCTGGGATCAAACATGTTTTTTGTAGGTAGCTTTAGTTTGCAATCGGTAGATGTTAATCGCAGCTTTAGAGAACGTCAGCAAAACGAGGTAAACTCACTGCGTTTAGAAGCAGATTAAAATCTCCAAGCTGTTTAACCACACACCATTCCTTGGCATCACTTTGGAACCGCACAGCGAATAACTTGGGGATGCAGTGAAAGAAATGGGAGATTAGGAACCATAGGTTCGTATAAAAGAGAGGGATGGGTCAATGGATCATATAAAGCGGGAAGAAACGATTTAACAAGTTCTGACCAGCAATCCTTCCTCAATAGCACTGGATAGACTAGAATGTCAGAAAAGTTCGAAAGAACACTTAGACATGGCTTTATTGATGTTGACAAAGGCTTCCAATAATTTCCATATCATGACCATTTTGGTGTTGGTGGAGTACAAATAAGGCCGCCAAAAACTACGAGTCAGGTCTTCATACCTAGATAATCAGTCTGAGAAGCCGCAAATCGAAACTAAAAAAATATAGAGGAAAAGATGAGCACCACAACCTGAAGGGAACCCTGATATTCAGAGGCCAAAATGTAAGCCCCCCAGCAGGAGATCCAGTCCCTTGAATCTAGGCCCGACGGATCGAATGCACTTATCCGGAGTTTGGAGACTCGGCAGAAAACAGCCTAATTATCCTTCTATGGAAAGGGCGAAGCTGTTGGAATGTGGGTTCGTATTAAATGGCTGTGAAGCGTAGCGCTGATTAGTGATAGGCAGTAAAGGATAAGACGGTGTGCGAATCGGCAACAGGATGTCTTTCGAACAGGTTTTCAGTCATAAACGAAGAAACTTAAGGTGAAAATCATCGAGAACACCTACGCTCTTGTAACATCATGGTTTCATCCTATGTTACGGAACCTATTATTAGGGTCAATTGTCCAAGGTAAGCAAACACGGTAAGCCTGTGGATGCTTTTTAATCTAGCTTATCGAGTTCACAGATTCCTTCTTAAATATTCAGCCCAGACTGGCAAGTCTGCGAAGAGACCAGAACCATGCATCGTTGTACAGCCGCTCGTGGTCGAACGGTCGAGTGTTCAAACTACTAGCCTGCGTGTCACGGGTTCGAGACTCTCCGGAATTAGATTGGCGAGATGAACCACCTCTTCGTGATGCCGACTGGATAGCCTGGACATCAGTCTGGGTGAGCTCAGAGTTCAGACAGGGCTAACCACCCTGTCTGGTTTCAATGTGCTGGTTACTTTCGGCAATATACACTACGAAACATCTGGCGCCACTGCACCGGTTCCAACTAGTACATAAGAGAGACTCATGGGACTCACGTATGAGGAATGTGGCGATTGCTGCAAATCGAAAGCTGGCTTGGTAGCCCACTATCCAGTTCACGACAATGAATGTGTTGGTACGAACGTGGTAGCCCAATAGTCATGCGCTGACTGTTCCCGCCTTCTTAGGACGAAAATTGGCCTGAGTCAACATAACCGGTATGCACATCTCACTCAGCATAATGCAGATAAACTTGGCCGAGTATGGTATTCCGGTACCCGCTGGCGCCTGGCCAACAATTTATATCCGTCCTGTGGAACGCAAACTGCGCTATTCGCGAGTTTGGAGAAGTATTCTCCTGGTCGATCGGCTATCAGCATCAAAGCAGGTTACGGGTGCGCAACTGGCAAGCACAACAGGACGAATCACCACCTAGTGGTCCTGACCAAACTATGGGTCGAATAGCGATCTGCTCGTCAGAATTCGAAGACTATAGCGTTTGGTTTAAATAAACCGTGGGCTGCGCCGTGTCACTCGCTTGCTAGCATTGACCTTCTGGTAGTTGCCCGAGGTTTGCGGTCTGGCATTATGAGACCAAAGCAAGTCCTGTCGTTTCTAGGCCTCCAAGCCTCCAGGACGTTTCCACACTCCTGAAAAAATGTATCCCGATGACGTCGTCCGCCAGTTCGTTGGATCCCGGTCAACCGAAGGCAGATCCACGGAGCCAACTATGCCGCCATCCAGACCCTATAACATCAAAGACGGAAAGATGCACTGTCTGCTGTGCTCGATGGGTCATGAAAGGTTTTATACAAAGGTACCTGCGGCCTACCCCTGGATGCCGAGCACTATTGGAAACAGGTGCTCTCAGCTCCAAAACACGCGGATCGCGTAGTAGTAACATCCGACTGGAGCCTGACCGAGCCAACTGCAGGAGAGGAAGTCGGTCGTACGATACGTCTAATGGGTAATTCGTCCCCAGGCCTGGACAAGCTTACGCCCAGGATGCTCACCAGTTCATTGCTAACGTGCTCGCTGGGTATTTCAACTTTCTCTTGTTATCTGGGGAATGTTCCTCACATCTGTAGCGTGCCCGTATTACCTTGGTTCCGAAGGTCCCAAACCCGACTTCATCGCACCAACTGAGACCGATCTCCGTGTCATTTATTCATGTCCGATGCCTTCATAAGGTGCTTGCTGATCACTGAAGTCGTAGACTGCAAAGGCCCTCACACCAGTTTGCATTTCTACATCCAGACGGTTCTTTTGGAAGCTACATCCCTGTTACATACCCTGCTTCGTCACTCTTCAGAGTCAGCGTCTAAACTCAGCTTGGCGTTTAATATTTTGAAAGCGTTTGATTCGGCTGTGTATATTTCTGTGTGTATTTCAAGAAATCACGAGATTGACATTGGAGGGCAAACTCAAAGTCGATTGTTGTGGTTTTTCTAACTAGCGTCAGGAACGATTCAAAGTGATAGTGAGCTGAATCTAGATTACAGATCAGTTGCGTTGCCGCCAATTCGGCTGTGGTGGCCCAGGTTGATTATGGCGTCAAAATAGACAGCTCAGATCAACACAGAAGGCGTCCCTCAATCAATGGAAATTTGTTTAAGAAAAGGAACGAAAGATAAAATGTACTTCAGATCACCGAGCCCTGTTGCAGAGCACACAGCCTTCACTCCGGCTCACTCAACTGCAAAAACAATTGAACCAATGTGTAAGAAGCTTATAGACCTGTAGTCTCAACAAAAAATCTCGACAAAATCTAAGTTTACCCTGAAAATGAAATGGATGGACATTCGTGAGGTATCACTATCTTTGTATGAGAATTACATCCTAAACCCGACCAAAGTCTGACAGACTTATGTGGTGGTCGGGCTTGAATACTTTTATGTTATCGCGAAATGAACTGGCTGGAACTCAGTGCTACAAGGCGCAACCACGAAATAAAGCCAAAAGGGAAGTTGCAACATACAAAGTAGCGGGACCGTAATATGAGACGGTCTGGGGGTTAACTCGTGCTGTTGTTTGCGCGGGATTGGGGTGAAGGTATTTCCTCCAGGCAATCAGCATGCCTATATTTATGAAAGCAGTGATGCTGCCCCCCCCCCAACCGACTTGTGGGTTAGATTATTGAATTAGATGATAAGGGCAGGTTCCCATACCACTATCTTCTGGGTCAGATTTGCGTCAACGACTCAAGATTCATGTGAGTTCTTTAAACCAGACCCCATTTCAGCCATGTAACCTAAGTTGCTTACAACCAACCCAGATGTTTCATGCTTCAATCTTCGGGCACCTGGTGAGCTTGGTACAATGGTTAATAGTGCCAATGGCACGGAGGTGGCACTCACCCACAAGACTAAGCTGTTGTCTGGTTTAATTAGGATCAATGCAAGAAGATGCCGCAAACGGTGTCTATTTGTCAAGTCAACACAGCCATAGGATAAACCTCTGAAGCTGAGAAATGAAAAATCAACTACAGAGCTCGCCTCCACCGCTGAGTTCATACCAATAACCGAAGCTAACTGGTCAAACATCAAAGAAGCAAAGAGGCGTGACCCTATTGTGAGGGAGCTAACCCAACTGGTTACTAACGGCTGGCCGCAAAATAAAGCAGATTTACCAAAGCACTTGAAGCCCCCCTCCCTCACAACGATCATCACCAATGTTACATCGAACAGGATGTGCAGCTTAAGGGTGAACGTACAGCGGTGCCGACGGAAATCAGAAGAGACACGGTGAGGAAAGTATATATGGCACATTCCGGTAGCAACGACAGCCTCTTCCGGGTCCAGGAACTAGTTTACTGATTGTGTGGGGCGAGATAGCTCAAGTGGTTAGAGCGCGAATTCACTGGTCGGAAGGTCCGTGTTTCGAACCCGACCTCTGTCTCTCGACTGCCCTTGTCTAGGCTTGGGTAACCTGAGAGTATCCCAGCCTTCGTGCTTCCTTCGGGTAGCATGGCAGCTACGCACCGGAAGAAAGTTACAGCTGAACGACTTTTTTACTGGTCATGTGTGACTACCATATAGAAAGATACACAACGCAGTGTAAGTTACGTCGAGCACATGAACCAAAAGCAGTCGAAGGAACCGGCGCTTTCACTCGAGGTGTCAGCTCAGTCCTGATAAGTAGGTGCAGTAGACATGTTTATGCATGTCAAAAAGCATTACCTATATATGACAAACTATTATGGTGAGGTTGAGTAACTGACAACCGTCAATACAACACGCTTCGTCAACTGCACGTGTTCACATTTTGCTAGGCATGGTATTCCAGAACTACGGCCTAATATGGCAGACGACAATTTACAGGTGAGGGGTTTCGAAAAATCCGCGTAAAATGGAGATTCGTTCATAATATTGGCAACCCATATTGTACCAAAGCACGGTCGGGGAATAAATTGAAGAGACGCATTATGACTATTGTTCGTGCCCCATGCTATTGGAGCAACGCATACATCGGACACACTGCCTCAAAGGATGTTTAGCCGAAGTACGCAGAATTCCTGAACCGCTGAACAATGCACACATTGCTGAGAGATTACAACTGAGGGGAGCTCAGAAGACGCATTACGATCTAAGCGCGCACCAACTAATTGACCCGGAGGAATGAGGAAGTACGAGTACAAAGTGTTCCTAAAAACCCCCAACTCGTGCAGAAGAGAGTACATAAGGGCAGAGTACTGGTACCACTCACATCATGTGAAAGACAACAGTATGATCACGAGAAGCAATAGGGTTCCTTTGAGAAACAACCACATACAATAAACGGTCTCCCAATGTAAGGTACTATAGGACTGATCAAGAACCGAATCAGTCACAATCATGTGAATTCGAATAACCAATTCTGGGTTTGGACACTAATAAAAAACACAGTGACTTCGCTCAATAAACTGAACTTCTATAGGTGACCGGAAGCCCTTTCTTGATCGATTCCCGTCACCTGAGGTTACCACCTTTAGTGGTGCAAGAAAAAGCTGTCCTCTCAGCATTTCTCCTCAAATACGCTACTGATGTGCTACTTGAAAATTATCCACCCGCCTCGGAAAACTCGGTGATCGAAATTACCCGTTGCGTTTGCTCACAGGCATTGAGTAAGGAGATGCTATTGTCTCCCTTGGTTACCGTTCACTCATGCCACATATATCGCGCTATGAATTGGAAACGTGGTCTCTAAGTTCAAAAAATTTACGAAAGCCCGCGGTAATTCATCTTCGGCAATTACGGATGGGAAAATCTGGTTGGAAATGCTAGGGTATGCCAGATGGTTATAGGAAGAGAGCACTCTAGTGCGATGGGTGGGCTACTCATGCCTCATAGATTACCTTGGTTAGCACATACACTTCGCATGCCAGGAGACCACCAATCTTGAAGAGCTCTTTTCGCACAGCAGTGCATTGGACGGAAACGAGCGAAGTCGGTGATCTGACAGGGAAGTACGAAAGCATTACGCAGTAAGCTTAGTCACCTTGACAACCTCCTCCTCCTTGGATGACGACCCCTGGCCAATGTTACTGGCAGTTGTGGCTAATTCACAAGTCAGCGGCACTGCTGCTACGCATCAATGCGTAGCTACATCATTTCCTATTCATTCGAACAACTAGACTGATTGAACTCTATCTAAACGACTACGTCGTCTCCAATGACTACATCTCTCCTAATATCCTATTTTCCACGTGGCAATTGGAACCAACATGACTTTTTTTCAGTTTTTTCTCACTCAAGTACAACGCAACCTTAGTAGATGGTTTTTAGCTGATAAACTGAAACCGGACTAAACTGAACGCATACCGAACATACGAACAAAATATGTCAGACTGGATGGACTGTACCCTACCATGGTGTAACGGTTTGCGCAGCTCAGTGATCCATTGAGCTATACTGGGGGGCGTCCTCCCCCTCCCTCTCCCCGCTGCATACAGCAGGGCACGTAGGCGAAAAAAGGCTACCACTGACGCCCTCCTTTTGTACTGCAGTGAAGCATTGGTGTTGACCACTGATGTCATGCTGTCGATGATGATGAACAAAATATAAAATGCGCACAAGGTTTATTTAAATAATGAAATACTTGACTACGTACGGAGCTAGAGATATGGTCGTTCCTACACTACGGAGATACAGTGAAACTTCGATTAAAGTTACAGCCTTGGGTAGTGAGTGGATAATTAAGTATCCTGCGTGTGATCCAAGTCCTACGGTTCTAGCAGTGCATGAGACTGTCAAGGTGTCGTATCCACTACCCAGTAAGCATTCAGTGTGAGAGCACCTATAGAAAAGGTGTACTATTCAGTGCTTGTGAAGCATAAAAGGGGTGATCACAAACACGATGTGTGGAGGCAATGTGCTAATGGAACACAGAAGCCAGGAGAAGAACACAGGCTAAACTAAATAAATCGGATTAAAAAGAGCGACTCAGCCACAAGTACCATAAGCTGCTGACAACATACCGTGCACTTCTTGCCATCAATGTAATTTGTCTGATCCGTCAAGCTGAGTAAAGTGATGGAGTTGATGGACATTATGGAACGCTAGGTCAAACAGTCAGCCTCGAAAGCTGAAACAAAAACAGATTCGATCAGTCCACAACAAACGATTCAACCCAGCACAAGAAAACTGTAACAAAACATTATGGATATGATAGGAGCGGCTGAGAAAGCAGTGCCATAGAAACAACCATGACAAGCACATGAATTCATTGCATTCCTGGCCACTAGCTACACAGTACATGCAGTAAGTGCTTTCGTGATCCCACGGTAGTACTGGAACATATCGAGTACCTCACAGGAGGTTCTTGAGAAACGTAAGAAGCCCTACAGTGAAAAGAAGAGCAAAAGGATGGGTGGAGGAGGGGACCTAGTGCTGTCCTATGACAATCATTCCGAGGTGCCTACACCTCCAACTGCTCAATCAGACAATCTGGAAACAAACTGACAGCACGAACGCCATTGATATCGATTAGCCGCGATCCCTTGCGACGTCTCCAGTTAAGTACAGGCGGAGTCACGGGGAACCCATCCTGGAAGGCGCACAACACCAACAACACCCAAACTCTCCAGGATCTCTTTCACGCCCTTCTGCCAAATCATGCGTTGTCCACCTCGCGGTTTGCGCCATCCTGAAGGAGGCACGGAGAACAACACCGATCTCGGTAGACGGTGTTTCGGCATGCGTAGCATATGACCGATTCATCCTAGTCGGTGAGGCTGGATGTTTTCCACGATTGGAATTCCTGCAGCACAACCAAATACCCGTTTTTCAATCACGTCGTCACTAACACGTTGACGTCATCCAAATCCAGCCAGGCTTGTGAGGCACTGAGCCATCTCTTCGACAGAGAAGCATCAGTGCTGACAGTATGCTGTCAATGATGATGATGATGAACTCACCGGCTACTCTCGATAAGGTTTGGCAAATAACCATGTCTGAAAAAATATCGAGATATGTTTACTTATTCAAGCATAGCACCACAAGTTTCTTCCCAAAGGCTGCATCAGATCAGAAGCAGTGACGAAATAATGCCAACTGAGGTTTGCTTTTATAGGTTAGCCTAATGACATCGGCCTGAGTAATATTGATCCATTCTCCAAATCGTCTTACTTCCCAATTTGCCATAATGGAACTCTGTAGTAGACGATGGACTGATCTGGTCGCGAAACGATTGACCAGAGCGCCAACTCACCCCACTACTACTCAAGTCGTTAGTGTTTAATGTCTCCTTGAGCGGTGCTACAGCGATTCGCTGTTTTTACGGCGTGGACCGATAACCGTGGTGTGACAGTGCCCTCTATAGCGCATGAGAGACTCCTCCATTGCAGAACACCCAATCACTTTTAATGGTCTCACGCACGTTAAACCCTCAGTGTTCTTCCGAATACAGATGGTTCTTAGTACCTTGACATTGAGTGGCCTGTACAGCACTGAAAGAAATCCAGTCTTATCCGCATCACGTTTGTCCTCGGTTGTCTGGTGGTCCGATTTGTAGTTGGTTCTAACCAGATGATCGTATACAAATGGATACGGTATTGTAGCGCAAGACAGTTCAAAGTTAGCTAACCCTCATAAAGTTAATTTTTAGCATACGGCTAAACGAGGTGAAAAGATAGTACCAGATAAGATTACATGAAGCCTCCAATCGTGAATCCTGATATCGATCCTGATGAGCAGGTCGGTTATATAGAAGATGATAGTGACGGGAATACTGTGGGTTTTCTGGGACTCCGGAGAACGATTCGTGTAGGGGCGACGTTGTTTCACTGCGCTGTTTATTGTAGTTTCAGTTTCATCTTTTGCCATTTACTGTGCTAGTTACTACCGTGACTTGCCATCACTTGAGCAGGTGTTGTTCTTTCGTGAACGGCACCTTACTCTTCGCCGGTTCAAAAGTTGCAATCGGTCCGCCCACAAGGTAAACCCAAACAGAAGCTTGGTTCAAACATTACCGGGCGATGTATACAAGCAGACAGCGTCACGTGGCTAACAGCGCAAGTCTCAGCGGGTTAACTGAAGCGCCATTGTAGTCTACAGTATCTGCCAGATTGATTGAGTTACACGTAACGGTGATGCTTACCGGGCTTCAGCTCATGATTTTCTATCACGCCTTCTATCCACAAACATTGCTGTGAACCCTTATGTTCAGAGAATCGCTGCCCCCTTGTGCCTCCATAGCGTGTGTTGTATGCACGCTATGGAGAAATCAGGGGGCAGTGTTTCTCCGGAAGCAGGTGTTCACGCACGTTTCTGTGGATGGAGAACAAATACAAAGCTCATGAGTCGAAGCCCAGTGATCAAGGTTGTGTATCATCAATACTTACATATAAACCAATCAAACTTACAGACACCCAATGCTACACGTGCACACTACACCACCCAACCTTAACCCGCGAGGACGTCAAGGTCAGGTCACGGATTCACGGATTCAGTCGGTTTTGTTTTGTCGGTCAGTGGCTGTCGTTCACCTGAAAGGCACAAGTGAAAAAAGGGTGTAGCACTGCTCTTTATGTTCTCAGCGCGGGGCAGTATGCTCGCCAGCGCGAGGATTCGCATAAATAAATGTCTAATAGTGCTTTAAATTGGGTTCGAGAAGGAGCGTGTACAACCGTCGGAGGAAGGTCATTCCACGCAGCTACTACCCGAAATGAAAAAAAGTTTTGTCTAACGGATGTGTGTGCCCTGAGCTTGAAGATTTTCTTACTATGTCCCCGCCGGGTGTTTGCTGGGTCAACGGTAAAAAACCTGTTTGCCAAGCTTTGTTCAAACAGGGCGTAGGTAAGAATTAGGTCCCCTCGGAGGCGACGGTACTCCAGGGGAAAGAGATCAAGCGTCGCGAGACGCGTTTCGTAGTCCACGGACTTGAGGCCGGCAACCATTCTCGTGGCGGCCCGCTGGACACGCTCAATGAGGGTAACGTCTTTCGTACGTCCTGAGTAGACAACTTGGTTGGCGTACTCCAGGAGCGGTCTGACGTAGGCCCCATAGAGTATTTGGAAGTCCATGCGAGTAATACGGGAGAAGGTACGTCGGATCATCCGTAAAACGGCGAATGCCTTTTGGGCCGATTTCTCATGGTGTAGTGCGAAGGACAAGTTTGAGGAGACCCAGATGCCTAAATCTTTTTTGGCATCTATCCTCATGATGTTTTCTGGTCCCTTTTCACCATGCATAACAAAGGCATTCGCTGAATCCCCTCCAAACGACACATGGACGCACTTTTCATCATTCAGAGGAAGGTGCCAGTCCAACGACCACTGCTTGGCAGCGTCTACATCCATTTGGAGGGCATTGGCATTGGAACTCCAGGATTTCAAGTCGTCCGAAAAAAGTAAACATGGACTCGCAAGAACGTCCGGGAGGTCGTTGACGTAGATCAGTAACAGGAGTGGTCCCAAGACTGAGCCTTGAGGAACTCCAATGGAGACCGGTGCTGGAGAAGAGTAGGTCGAGCCCATTCTCAATCGGAATGATCTGTCTGATAAGAACGCCTAGATCCAGCGAAAGATTTTCCCTTGCCTTCCGTAAGACTCGAGTTTGTGGAGCAGCGGGACGTGTGGTACCCTATCAAATGCTTTTGAGAAGTCGAAAAATATGGCATCCGATACGAGTCCTTCGTCCTGGGCTTGGGTTAGGCTGTCCATAAACACGAGCATGTTTGTCACGGAAGAACGGTTTGGGAGAAATCCGTGTTGAGCTGGAGATATCAGGTTGCTGGAAGTAAGGTGATCTAGGATGGCTCGCTTCAGAATGCGTTCCATCACCTTTCACGGCACGCTAGTGAGGCTTATAGGCCTATAGCTGCCAGGCGATAGTCGGTCACCAGTTTTGTAGATTGGCGTGACAATCGCTTCCTTCCAAGCAGAGGGCCTTCGTCAAGCGACTGGCAAAACACTAGGTGGAGATGATTTGCCGGTGTGGAGGACGTTTCTTTCAGGATCCTCGGATGGACCTCGTCGGGTCCCAATGCGCAGAATGGGTTGATCTTGTGCAAGAGTTGACGAATGTCCTCCACCGTGAAGACCAAGTCGGTTAGAGGCTGTTCGTAGTTTCTCCTTGACAAGAGTGGATGTGACGAGGACGCTGGGGCTGAGTATAGACACGCATAGTGTTCTCTGTAAGCCTCAGATACCACTGTTGGGTCATTCGTCGGTTCTCCGTTTCTGTCCCTCAAGGAGAACGCAGATGGCTTGTTTCTGCGGCGATGTCAGCTTTAAATTGGGTTCGAGAAGGAGCGTGTACAACCGTCGGAGGAAGGTCATTCCACGCAGCTACTACCATTCCACGCAGCTACTACACAGATTGATACACAGGATCGAAGCTTCTGCCCAAGTTTCCCGGGTCGGTTTTGTCCTTGCCGTTCAGCACCAGTCATTTACCCGAAAGGCAAAAGTGAAAAAAGGTTGTAGCACTGTTCATTAAGTTCTAAGAGTAGGGCAGTGTGCTTGCCAGAAGGAGCGTGGAAACTCTCTTGAGGGTTAAGTCCTTCTTGCGTCCTGAGTAGAAAACTTGGCTGCTACGCTCAAGAAGCGGTCTACCGTAGGCCTTGTAGAGTAGTTGGAAGTCCATGCGAGTAATACGGGAGAGGGTGCATCGGATCATCCGTGGAACAGACAATGACTTTTGGGACGATTTATCAAGGCGCAGTGAGAAGGACATGCTTGAAGACAGTCTGCTCCCCAAATCTTGGCATCAAACCTTGTGATGTTTTCTGGTCCGTTCTCACCACGCAGGACACAGGAATTCGCTTAATCCTCCCCGAATAACGAGTTGAAGCACCTTTCGTCACCCAGCGGAAGGTGCCAATCCAACATACACTACTTCGCAGCGTCTACACCCAGCTGGAGGGCATCGCCGTTGGAACTCTGGGATTTCAAGTCCTCCTCACAAACTAGAAACAAATTGAAGGACTGTCTGGAAGGCCTATGACGTAGATCCGAAACAGAAGCATTGGGGAACTCTAATGTAGATTGGAGCAGGAGAATTGTAGGTCGAGCCCATTTTCATTCGGAATATTCTGTCTGATAGGAACGCCTTAAACGAGCGTAAAACATTTAACTTGAATCGCGTAAGGCTTGATTTTGCGGAGCAGCGGAACGTCTGGGACTCGAACGAATGCTTTTTGGAAGTCGAAAAATATGGCATTCGGTATGGGTCCCCCGTTCTTAGTTTGCGTTAAGTTGGCCATGTTTACGAATATGTTCTCCACGCAAGAATGGTCTGAGCCGGCGGCTAGACGCA